ATAAAATAAATATATTGGGACATTAACACACAGCACAATCTAGTTCCATGGTAAGCTACGAGGCTTGTGTTATGGATACCAGATAGTTGATACACTACACATATATAAACTTTAAAAACATAAATATAAACATCCATGACTGGAGTACAAACATTCGTGCTCATCACACAAATGAATGCCCCCAGCGGGACTTGAACCCGCGACCACTGGCACAGCAAGTAGGGTCACTACAAACTGAGCCAAACGTGTCATCATATATGTATATTATAGAAGAAACTACATAGGAAAAATAAGATAAATTAACAGTGAAGTCATTATTAACTAATCTTATTTTTCCTATGTAGTTTTTGTGAAGAATCACGTCTCCCTTGTTGTCGGAATGTTGGTAATGAAATACCGGAAACAATTGATTTGATAGATATCAGACTAAATAAAATGTGAGAACTCACGATTGAGGAAGTTAGTGTAACCTTCAAAATTTTTTCATTCTTTAATGGCTTTACAGATTAAGGTAAAATTCGAAACCGAGATAGCTTATTATATACTAAATACGCTACTTTTTACTGAAGTAATATGACGTAGGCGAAGCTACGGTCAAACTTGTTGAAGATACTCGAAAACGAAATTAGTTGAAGATATTCTAAACTCCCCCATCTCTGTGCACTTGCGGGTAAACTCAGCTCAGTCCCCTCTAACTTCCGGTCAACTCGCAAAATTAATAAAGGCGCTACAACTGTACAAATATACGAAATAATGACTCTCGACGTTTCAAATTCTTTATTGAGGCTTTTGACGTCTTATAAATAATAGACTATCACCAGTTAAAAATTATAAAAGAATTCTTAACAGAAAAATAAGTGGCATTGAAGTATTTTTTGATTTGAAAGGCCAAAAATAAAAATAAGACTGCGAAAAATTCTAAGATATTGTTTAAAACAGATAGTCACAATGTACCCATTTGACCATAAAGCATATTTTGAATTTGGGATTCTTTTTCCCTGTTCTCTATTATTTAGAGACTAGCAGAACCTACGGCTTCGCTCGCGCAAAACTACAAAAAAACTCTAAAAAGGTAGGTTTCTTAAAAACTTTCATTCCCTATTTTACCCTCTTAGTGGTTGAATTATGGAAAACTCATTATTTTTGCCGTGCTCAATTCATACGAAATTTCATGCAAATATGTCCAAGGAATAAAAAGTTTCATACAAACTTTTAAACCCTACTTCACCCCCATATGGGTTGAATTTTGAAAAAATCCTTCCTTAGTGGATGCCTACGTCACAAGAGGAATACGTGTGCGAAATTTTAAGTTTCTAGCCCTAAGTGTGCGTTGATACACTTCACTTTTGCCTTTTCAACCGACTTCAAAAAGGAGGAGGTTCTCAATTCGACTGCATGTTTTTTTTTTTTTTTTTTATGTTTGTTACCTCAGAACTCTGTCATTTATTAACCGATTTGGATAATTTTTGTTTTGTTTGAAAGGGTATACTTCCAGATTGGTCCCATTTAAATTTCAAAAAAAAATACCACCCCTAAGGGTGGAAAAACAACTAATGATGAATTTAACCTACTTCTAATTGTCATATTGACTTGAAACTTTGCAAGTATTTCTATTTTCGTTGATAGTACAGAGGTTCGGTGTTGTTGAACTGATCTGATGGCAAGGCCAGAAGGTGGATAGGTGGAACTCTTCAACGGCTAATAGTAGATACTTTGAGTTTGGGCTTATTTTGTTTGATTTGACAAGCCTAACACGTTAGAATTCTTACTTTGCTACTACTGTCTATACTAAAAAGGGAAAAATAAAAACTTTTTAACAAAAAAATAAAAACCGACTTCAAACAAAAGCACTACAAAGTAAAAAATAACTGATTGGTAGTTTTCATTTACTATACATACCTAATCAAATATATTCGAAGTCGGTGTGCTTTGGCTAAGTAATTAAAGCCTACCTATTAAATACATACCTAATCAAATATTTTCGAAATCGGTGCCAGGCCATATAAAGCAAAGCACACCGACTTCGAATATATTTGATTAGGTATGTATAGTAAATGAAAACTACCAATCAGTTATTTTTTACTTTTTAGTGCTTTTGTTTGAAGTCGGTTTTTATTTTTTTGTTAAAAAGTTTTTTATATATATATATAGTATGCTGAATAGCTATGATCAATTATCTACTTTATCTTAAATAGACTGGAAAAATCAGTTAAGTCAATATTCGCCCTTACTTCAAAAGAAATCTTTTGTTTGAGCTTTATGAGAATTAATTACAAGATTTGTGCAAACATTTCCTAATTTAAAGTAAACGACAATATTTTACTCAAAAAAATGGTCACACCTAATCTATACCTACGTATAATAAAATTGTAACTAAGCCGAATCTGTACATTAAATGTTTTTTGGAAAATCTTATTGAAATAAACATTATTATCGAAACAGAGACCGAGTCTATGTTTTTTTAGAATTTTTGTCTGTCTGACTGTGGCCGCATCACGGAAAACACGGATGAAATTTGGTATGATGATAGCTACTTATCCGGGTCAACATATAGGATACTTTTTACTGCGGGAAAGTATTTAATCTCTGTGAAATCTATACTAAACGGTAAAACGTAAGTAGGGACGAACCCGAGCGGAGCGAGGGTGAGTATTATATATTAATTGATATTTAATATATTATATATTAATTGATTAACACAAAAAAATATCGCCCCGACTGCCTTGTACTTCCACGGCTATCAAATAGTTATTTAAATATTTATACACCTTTGAGTTGATGCTCGTACCTATAAAGGTTGTGTTGTTTACTGACTAATAAATATGTAAATAATTTGATACGGCTTTCGTTTGTGTGTAATGGACGCTATACCAGGAAGCTTTGCGAGCGTACAACAATAATTCATAAAAAATCATCGCAATCAGCAATTTCTTTTTGATTTTACTCAATCGTAAAAACGATAATCTATATATTTTAAGTTACTTATACTGATTGATAAAATCAACACCTAGGCTGAGCCATAAGAATAACAGGCTGTTTTGACGGTATTATTCCTCTAAGTGATAAAAGTAGTGACTAAATATACTTTTTAAAGTTTAACCCCTAAATAGGTGAAAAGGAATGACAAGATTGTTTAAAAAATAATATTTTAGTATTAAAGAAAAGCCAAATCGACTCAGGCTAGTATATATTACATAAACAAAGAAATAATAAAATAAAAACAAACAGCAATAAGGCCTCTGTAAATAGAGTAAATGAAACATGATAGAGGTGATTCGATTAAAAACAAATTTATCGGTACGTTGACTCGAGTTTTCATCATAATACTTGCGTTAAGTTTGAAAATTTGCCAAAACTGCGAGAATTGAGAAAAATTAATGAGGCTGGTGAAATTTGATCTCATTTAATCCTAAGTAAAAAATAACAAGGATTCTCGAAACTCAATAGACTTTGTTTAAAAAAAGCTACTAAAACGTTTAAATTTCTTAAATTCTTTCCATTTTTTTAACCGACTTCCAATTCCAAAAAGGAAGAGGTTCTCAATTCGTCGGAATCTTTTTTTTTATGTATGTTCACCGATTACTCGAAGACACCTGAACCGATTTGGAATTTTTTTTTGTTTCAAAGGGTATACTTCCCAGGTGCTCCCATATAAATTTTATCGAAATCGGTCGAGCGGTTTTTTTTAAAAAAATCAACAATAAATATTTTTTTGTTTTTAGGATTTTTTATTATCTTTATTATATCGCATTAATCAATAATTTATTTGTACTTCTATTAGATGTTGAAATTAGATATAGACATTATTTTTTACTTGGCCCTACAGAATTTACTGTGATATGATACATTGAGTGATGATTGACATAATATGGCTTTCATTTTATAAATATGGAAGGTTAGAAATTAGCAACAATTTGACTTCATATTAAAAAATTGCAGTTGGTACTCGATTCAAAACCGCACGAAATATAGCTAGAGCCCGTACAGAGCCAGGGCGGTAACTTGTATTTATTAAAATATAACTTCTTCTCCCTGCCCATTTCCCGATCAGTTGGGGTCGGCGCAGTACATCTTCTGTACTGCTGATAGGATTTGGTAAAAGTTTTGCGACCGGCCGCCTGCCTGACATCAAACCTCCTTGGGAATGCTATTGTTTATCGCGGAAGTCTTGTAATATGATGCACTTTCGATTTTGTTGTCTTTTAAAAAAATATGCTATGACTTAAAGTTTAATGTTACTTTCGGATATATTTTAAAATAAATTTTCATCACACTATATTAAAATGATTTACTAAACATAATACTGAATAACGTTTTTAATTTCCTTCCATTATTGTGTACTACACAATTTTATAATTAAATCTTGTTGCGATGTAACAGAATTTTCTTTATTTCTCGGAATTGATTGTATTTGTTTCAAGAGTTCATAACGAGAGATAAGAGTCCATTGCATTGAAGATTTTTTTTTAATTTCGAATATTTTGATCCAGTGCTATACTCGCTTCTAGAATACTTTATCCGTGTACTAGCGACTCACCCTCGCTTCGCTAAGGTTCGTCCCTAGGTACGTTTGGTTAATATGAAATGATTTTTTATTTAAAAAAAAAATTCGTGAATTTTTCCGATGTTTTAATAGTTATTCTGCTATTCGGGGTAAAAACAAATCCAACAAAACAAAAATCATAAAAATCGGTCCAGCAGTCCTCGAATTATAAGTGTTGTAACAAACCCGACTTTGTTTTATATATATAAAAGTATGTATATTCAGTTCTACAGTAATTACTTATTGTATTTATATCAATTAAAAGTAGGGACAAGTTAGACTGTCGTATATGCTGTATTTAGAAGATATCAAGAATATATTATATTAAAATATATATATTTCCTTATGCTATCTTGAAAATCTTTAAAAAAATATGTATTGTAGTAAATTTGTATCTATTGCAGCAGTATTTAGAACCTGAAGATAATATTTAAACTATATTTACGTATGTACTTACCTACACTATGTTCTTCAGTCGATGTCTGGTAAACAGGCGTGCGAGCAAATTTGCCTTGAGTATTTTCGCTCTGTCCGAAATTACTTTTACGAAAATCGTTATATTGTATCGTAATTGGAATAATGCGTTCAGTAGTAGAATTCTCAGGCATCTCTTCCTTGTTCATGTTAAATTTTGATTTTTTATCATCACAGTAATTTGATACTCCATTTCTATAGTTTTCACCCTGACTAGATCCATTAAGTGTTATTTTCTTTATCGTTTTTGTTTCTTCGATCTCACTAATTTTCTTCTCAGATATCATAGAACGTTTAATAACTTCCTCGTTCAACCGGAAGTCACCATCGCTTTTAGAATAATTCAGGGTAGATCCGTTTATGGATGTATTATTTAACTTATCTTCCGAATTTGTGAAATTGTTTCTTAAATCATTAGCTTTCATTGTTTCAAATGGATTTATATTATCTTTTATGTCATAATTTTTTCTAGTTTCACACTTAATTTGACTATCAGAAAAGGAACTATATAAGTCGTTTGATAAACACTTTGGTGATGTTTCATAAGAATTATTTATATGCGATTCAGTGCTCATATTCGGTATACTACTAGGACCTGAGTCGAATTTCTTAGAAAAGAATGAGGATAATTTTAAGTCATTTTCGTTGTTCTTATTGTAGGAGTCAGTTGATTTGATAGGTCTATGTGTTGGGGTATTGGAAGGTTTGCCATTCGGAATAGGAAGTTTTGAAGAGCTCGTGTAATGTGGTAATGTGGAGTAGAAAGGATTAGTTGGGTGAAATTTGAGCGGCTCAGGAGATATGGACTTCACAAGTGGAGTAGAATTTAGTGGGGAGTTTAGAGATCGTATCGGTGAAGAAAGTTTGTTGTTAGAAGTCGCCGGCCGTATTGTGGCATATACTGGAGCCTGTGGCGTTGCTCTTCCATTATTTATTTCGGAGATTAGTTGAGAAGGTCCTGAAAAAACATATTGTATTAGATTATGGTAAATAAAATATAATTTCACAAATTAAATGTAACAACAGTTTATCAACATGAAATCATTAGATAAAATTATATCAATTAATTGCAGTTTAGTGCACTTAACTGAAGCTCATTGAACATGTAAATAATTAAATAATATTATACAGCTTTATGTGCTATTTTAGAGATAATACTTATAGTAAAATATAATTCTGTTAATTACATTCGAACGATGTCGAGTTAGTGCTTGCTGGGTTATTTCAAACATTACCGTACCGTCATTGAAAAAAAATTATGTACTGCTGAGCAAGACATCCAAAAATTTATGAAATACCCCTTCAAGTCAACGGAAAGAAAGAACATACATACAAACAAACAAACAAACAAACTAACACGCTTTCACTTTTATATTATTCCTAAGTAAAGTAAATATAATTTTGAAAGTATAGATTTATTTAAAGTTTTTTTCTGTGTCTAAGCATACTGTCGACTTTAAATTAGATTTCTTCGCTGGATATTAAATTTCCTTCCCGCACGTCATGCGTTTCCGGAACGCACAATATGCATCTGATTACATTAAGCCGGAATGAAAAAGCTCATTAAAAAGCTCTTCTATCTACTGTACTCTAATCATATACATAAATTTAAAATTAATAAACATGAGTTTAAAGTATACACTATACGTGTATAGTATAAATATAATAGTATTTTAAAATATGTGAAGCCTTTATGAAATCTAGTAAATTCCATAACAGATTCGTCTTATGGAAAACTTGAATAGAATTGCAATATTGCTATCAATGTGCGAGTGTTACAGTGAAGTCAATATAAATACAAATTTACTGATAAAAATGCCAATTGATCAAAGTTGTTATACGTTTTTATCATTCTCTTAAAAGGTAGCTTATCATGAGATAAGATGAATATAATTGATCATGTGCATTGGTATGTAAAATAAATAAAAATATCTAAGAAACGTTAAGTGCCAATAATCAGATGGTTTTTTTCTTTTTTTTTTAAAGAGTCACAGGGAAGTGGGAACTGGTCACAGGTTTAGTTTTAAAAACAGACTAAATATTTATACTATCATCCATTCTCTTTTATAAATATAATGTTATATGTAGTAAATTTTCATAGTACCTATTACTGTTTGGTAATCTTTCTGTCTTCTTTTAAAGCACATCACTAAAGTCTAGATAGTTCTATTAAATGGACTTTAGTGACATCGATTAATATCACTGCTAATGGCAGTTTTCTAGAGAAAAGAATTTAATACAGTTACCGTCTTTGTGCATCCGACGGCTATCTAATCGAAGTTGATAAAAGAAATAGGGAAGTTAAATCTAACTATTTTACTTCCACTCAATTCCACTAGCATGAAATTAGATTGTTGAAATAAAACCTCTTTAATATTTTACACTCAAAGATTTACAGAACTCCTACGGTTTGCTTCTGATTCTATTATTCCACAAACACTAAGTTCTACAAAAATAATAAATGCTTGGCTCTGGCAATAGTATTGTTTTGAAAGATACTTATAACAAAAGATTATTTTTTAAATATTAGAACAATTTCATTGTTTAACATGGAATAAAAATTTGCATTAATAACATTTAAAAGTGAGAACGAAATAATAATAACCATTTTAAGTTTGTTTTATTATTTGATCAATATTAGATATTTACTTTTCTACGCTGTAAGTAACCATCTTGCGAAAATATTACAGTATCGCATCTGCCATTTCCTTAATATCCACGGGAATATAAAGAAAATGTCATTCACAAAATATATAATTGGACTAACAATTTGCAACTTTGAAAATTACCACCGTTGAAAGTTGGTTAAACTTTAAATACTAAACTGCACGCTATTATACTTTATCGCGAATCTAGTCTGAATAACCCTACTAAATGCACTTTAAAGACGACGTCAATTAATATCAAGCTGCAAATTGCAGTTTCTGGAGGATAACGTTTAATACCTTTATCCTCTTTGTGCAGGCAAAGGCGAGTCTAATCAGAACCGTCTATTTAACTTTATAGAATTGTATCAAGATTTTATAAAATAAGCAAGTTTTGCTTAAAACATTTTTATAGTATTTAATAATATATCAGTACAATATCTAAATAAACAGCTAGGTAATAATTACATTTTAGTAATTAGAATCTGAGGCACTGGTAGCCTAGAGGTAACACGCTCGCTTGGGAAACCGAGTGAAGCGGGTTCAAATCCCGGGTCTCGCATCTCTGATACTTTCATGTGCGAATTTCCAACATGATTACACTTGTCAAAACGGTGAAGGAAAACATCGTGAGGAAACCTACACGTTGAGAGAACCTAGCAAGTTTTTAAAAGACATGTGAAGTCCGTCAACCCGCACTTGGCCAGCGTGGTGGACTATGGCCTTATTTCTCTTGTACTATAGGGAGGCCCTTGCCCAGCAGTGGGACATTAAAAAGGGCTAACTTCACGAGAAAACCACTAGACAGAATTTGATGAAATTTGGTATGAGGATAGCTGGTTATCCGGGTCAACATATAGGATACTTTTTACACTTTTTTATTTCTGAGAAAAATACGAAAACTGCATTGTAAGAGTATACTAATATGTAAAACCTAAAAATTTGGTTTTTGGTCATCTGAACGCGGGCGGAGCCGCGGGCAATGCTAGTCGTTCTATATAGCATCACCTGAAACCTTACCATGTATTTATGCATGAACTACTTAATGGGTCAGTCGCCTTTTGCGGTTAGGGTTTGCATTTCAGCGACGTTAAAACTTCATTTACTATTTGGTTGTTATTATAAATTTTATTCTATTAAAGTATTTACACTAATTTTATAAGTAAATACTAAAGTTTGTGAGTGTGTGTTTTATAATTTCTTCGTGAAGTAAATTTTATATTATTATTTAAAATCGAAATGAAAATATATACGAAAGTAACGAAAGAACCAATTTTGATGAATTTTGTTATAAATATAGATTGAATTCTGGAGAAGAACGTAGGTTACTTTTTATCGTTGTAAAAATAACTTGAAGGTGGTAAAATGAAAGTATAAAAGTCCTATATTTTTTTTTTTTTTGTAGTTTTAGCGCGAGCGCGAGTTCTGCTAGTATTATATTTTAAGCAAAATTGAGTGTGATATTTTATAATGAATAAAGTCATCAATTCAAGCAAGAAGAATATTATAAATGCAAAAGATACCTAGGGAATAATAACTATTTACTTACTTTATATAGTGTATACTATATAGTATTTGATATTATTTACAAAGTAAAATTTTCTTTAATATTATAATCGTATCACAATAGGCAAAAAAGTGTTATTTAATATAAAAAAGAAGTAATCGCGAACTTACTTTTTAACTCTGTTGCTTTACCAATAGATCTTCTTCGCGGTGACGTCTCTCTGTCTCTGGCGACAACAAAACTTAGATTAGAACTTGCCAAAACTTTATTTTATACGACACGATGCATGAACTTATAAGCTTTGTCTTAGAAATAGTTATATTAAAGACATTTTCATGTTCCTTGATATGAAATGTATAGATATCTCATAGATTAAGAACGAAAAGTATCTTCTATTTTTAATTTCATTAGAAAAGTAATTATCGCAAAAAATATATTTAGTTAAAATATTATTACACAGGTATACATTATTGTTATGTATGTAGTATTAATTATTATTATATACATAGTATAACTATAATATAACATATAATAGCTTATCGTCCTGCGCCATTAACATATACTATATTTTTAACGTATTTAGTTATTAACTGTAATATATTAGTGCAATCACAGAATAGTGATTCGATTTCGAAACTCCAATTGCCATATGTAACTAAGCAGCTCCATTAAAGCTTTGGCTTCCATCATTTTCCATTTACAACACAGTTTCAGCGTTCAAATATCGCACGAAACGTACGATGATTAACTAGATTAAAACAGACCCCTTGTACAGTCACTCGCAAAATGTCGACTTCAAAGCAATGCCGAAGAGTGAGAGTAATTTTCAGTAAAATTTAAAAACGCTGCTTTATCCGGCGATACTTTGTTGTCCATGTCACTTTGCATCTCTCTGTCTCGGTGTCAGTTTTGTACTTGACTGTACTATTATGCAAATCTAGAGCGTAAATGTTTGCATTTGTATCGCTTGATTTTATGCGAGCATGCCGCATAAAGAGTTTTAAAGTATCTATCAAAGATTTTGTTTTATATAGATTTAAATATACTTTTACTTAAGAGGAGCAAAGTATCAAAATATATGGGGCAATTAAAAATATGAAGCACTGACGTTGCAATTTCACTACTGTGCACAAATTAAAAGTTTATACTAAATAAATAATTTGAATTTTGTTAAGTAATTGTACATATATTTCTTATATTAACATTAAAAGCAAAACGCAACAATGCATCGATCCTGAACCAGCTCCGTATAAAAACCCGCTTGTACACCTTATGCCGACAACATATTCTTTCGTATTTTGGCCACACAATGCGCAGAGGCGACGAAAGTTTGGACAAACTTATTGTGGTTGAAAATACCGAAATCAAAAGATCGCGCGGTCGTGCTACAATAAGGTGGACCGACCAAATTAAAGACTCGTCATCGAAATTCTACACGGTGGTAAGAGACGCGCTGGACAGAAGCCGGTGGAGGCAGATTATCTGCTCCAGATGCAAGCCTAATGCTGACCACGATCCTCAGACATGAGGGACCGACCCCAGAGAGAGACAGAGAAAAAAAGAAATGTAGGTTTTTATTAAACAAGTATAAAGCACTGTCGTTGCGATGATACAACTGTGCACAAAACAAAAGTTTATACTAAAATTTAGTTTGAATGATTTTGTTAAGTAATTTTAGATAATATTAACCTTTGAAGTAAAAGTAGGTGATTATTCATTACATAGAAACGAAGTCACAACTGAATTTGAAATTTTCTGACTTCAATAAAATTTCTCTGTTCCATTTTTAAATTCGTTAATAATTTAAAGGTTTTGTAATTGGTTTAAAACTGGCACATTTTCAATGAACTCTCGCAAGTACTTAAATTCTCTTTTGCACGGATGAACATATTTAAATTTGCCTATTTGCAACATTATAGCTTACTTTAAAATCAAATATTTGTAATATTCCCTTATCTATATGAAAAAATGCTTTATTTAAAAAAAAAACAACTACACTTTATACACAAATAACTATATGAATCTGATGACATATATTTCATTAGCATGCCGATATTTTACAAATTAATAAAATTTCTTACTCGTTCAATCCTAGCCGTAAAACTGGTCCTGCAGATCTCAGCATTGCGTGTGCATCGGAGTTGCTCATATCCTTCGTTGGTTTGCCATTGATTGAGGTTATGACGTCGCCTTCTCGAATCCCACTAAGAGATGCCTTTCGACCTGGATTCACCTGAAATACACCACAATTTTTATTAGTACTTCTTTACATAGTACGTTCTTAGATTATTAAAAATATTTGACAATTTATTTTTTACAAGAGTCATAATAAAACCGCGAAAATATCCGAATTAATTAAGTTAAATTATTTATTTTGATATATCATACTAATGTATTTTATCTATACTTATAAAACCACATAGCAGCAACTATGAAAAAAACTGCCTGCTTGTCTGTTTGTGTTTATTTGTGCGCGAATCACATAAGAACTACTGAATGAATTAAAATTCTGAAAAAAATGAAATTCCTTAATAACACTTTTTACCGGGCCGGATATCCAAGGAAATGAGAAAAAATTGTTTTAAATAAAAAGATAAAAGTCCTATAAATAATAGAGAGGTCGGTGTGGCCAAAAATTCCATTCCAGCCTAGTGAGAGATAGTAGTTACTTGGTAAGCAAGTCATTGTTTGTTGTTGTTGAAAAAAAACGGATTGTCTATTCGTCCTTTAATAGTACGAATAAAAAATAATTATTCATCCTGTATATAGTCGTAAAAACTAAAAAATAAATAAAACCGACTTCCAGGCACTAAAATGTAAAAAATAACTAAACGGGGGTTTTCATTTAGAATACATACCTAATGAGATATTTTCGAAGTTGGTGCCAGCCGACGCATAGGAAATCTAATATATTTTGATACGCAAAATACATATTTACCTATTAGATATTCATATCTTAAAATATTGCACATGTCATCTATGTACAGAAATATTTTTTAAAGGCTAAATAAGTCAATTGAAATATAAATATGTTATTTCGTCCAGAACTGCTTGTTATTTATGGTATTTGCATACCTACTTCTAAACTTATAATAACTATTTTAACATTTTGGTCTGTTCAACTTAACTTAGAAATAGCTTAATCAATATAATTGTTATTTTCTCTTAGGACTTGCTATTTTTATCCTAAGACAAGAAGTTTCTCGTATTTATGCGTAATGTTTACAACAAAGATAACGCCAATAACATTATAGAAAGGTTTATAATAATTTTATTTGTGTAATATTATATTTTATTACATTGGTCACAATTTTTAGGCATGAAAATGTTAGTTAGTTGTATTTATTGAATGTAATCCAATTTAACCCAATATTCAAGGTTTACGAATTCTCGGTCCAGAATGTTGTTATATTAATATATTATGTATATTTTTTTATTTATTATTTATTTATTTTAATTATCATAAAATAATACTATATCCATACTTAATATTATATATGTGAAAGTGTGTTTGTTCGTTTGTTTGTTTGTTTGTTTGTGTGTCCTTCTTTCACGTCGAAACGGAGTAACGGATTGGCGTGATTTTTTGTGTGGAGATAGTTGGAGGGCTGGAGAGTGACATAGGCTACTCTTTATCGCGGGAGATTCCTTAATTCCCACGGGAAAACACGTTAAAATACAATCCAAAAAAATATTCACTATCACAATTACTAGTTTTTTTTTTTATAAAATTGGCATTCTCTTCTCTTAGTTCTTACTCTTCAATAAAACTAAATAAATACGTGTCTTAGCATTTTTCAAAATTCATCATATAAGAGGGTAAAATATGAGATAAAAGTTTGTATGAAACTACCTTTTTAGTGATTTTAGTGTAGTTTTAGCGCGAGCGAAGCCGCGGGTTCTGCTAGTATAATATAATGTTGAACATCCGATATTTACAGATGGTAAAAATTAAATGATAAAATAAAAATTAAATAGAAATTAAATGTACAAACAAATAGCCATAGCAGACAACTACATTAAAATATAAAAATAAAGGTAATAATAGAGCAACCAAAACAAATAAAACCATTATCGAGAGCAATAACTTTCGCCGATAATAATGCAATCCAAAGCGAATGTGACCTATAAAAATAATATCATTGTACGGATGCAAACGGACCATAATTATTATAGCTCGCTGCAAGCTATTTGTATTATACATGAAAGCGCAAAATACTAAATTAAACCACAAAACAATATAATTTTATATTTCAAACTAGCATTGCCCGCGGCTCTGCCCGCGTTCAGATGACTAAAAACCAAATTCTTAGGTTTTACATATTAGTATAAGTACTCTTACAATGCAAATTTTGTATTTTTTCTCAAAAATGAGATATTTACCCGTGGTAAACAGTATCTTATATGTTGACCCGGATTACCAGTTATTATCATACTAAATTTCATCAAAATCCCTTCAGTGGTTTTTCTGTGATGCGGTAACAGACAGACAGACAAAAATTCTAAAAACTATAGATTCGGCCTCTGTATCGTAATAATGTCTATTTCAATAAGATTTTCCAAAAAATATTTAATGTACAGATTCGGCTTGGTTACAATTTTATTATATGTATAGATTTCAAATACAAGCTAGTCTTAGTAAAGCAAACTATAAGTAGGCTTTGACCATGCAAATATAAAGACAATATTTTTTCTATCTGAAAGTATGTATCCAAGAAGTGATTATAATTGAAAGTTAGATGTCTATATTTGTTTGTAGGTAGATTAATAATATTACAAACGACTTTACCTCGCTTTGTTTGGTTACGTCCCTAGGCGTATATCTGATGTACATAGGTATATTTCGATAATAGTATAATTCCATTATTATCGGAAAAAAATTTAGCACACGGCGGTTATTTAGCTTCCTAAGTAAATTATTTTCAGAATTCGAAGTCATTTCAGAGACTACCCCCTACATCCAAATTTACAAACTTCTTTATAAGTTATAGTTATTTACAGTACATTAGGTAGTATAAGCATTTATGCTTTCAGTTGAAAGTTTATTTAAATTTTGAACTTTTCAAATAGATACAGAACAAAACATTTTTGTGAAAAAAATATGTATAATTTTCCTTCTACACTCTATTCTTTTAATGCGAGAACACAAAAACTCATCAGGTCATAGCGCGTATAATGGGGCACTTAAACAATTGCAGCATGAAATTTCAGTATTACAAACCGCGTTAGGTTCGCGCCGCCTCGCCGCCGGTGAACAAAACTTTAGCATGTTTCCTTCCGGAGTGCACTCAACGAATCCTTACCCTTACTCGGGAATTAATATTCACGCACACAGAATCGTAGTCATTACGTTCTCTTGCAACATATACTATAGTTATAATTATATCACTAAAACGCAACTAGATGAGCACCTACAAGCGAGTAAAGGCACAAAAATAAAACACAGATTTAATATGACTATCGTCCGGTCACCCCGAGAAAGCCGAAGTAGATACTAAGCTTGGAAGGCACGCGACCGTAAAGCCAATTTCATCGAAACATTATATGGGCATTATTCGAATATGCATGCGCCGTGAGCCCGTAGCTATTGTATCGGGGATAGACACTCGTTCCGAATATTAATCCTGCGAAGGCAAACTCACGAGCTGATTCCATGTCTACGTGCAGAACCTCAATGAATTTTTAATAGGCCGATGAACTCACATTGTATGGAAATAATTTGAGATGTAAGTAAAGTACAATTTTTTAAGAGAAACACGTAATATCAATATCTTACAACGTTGACGCTAAACTAAAAATCTAGAGAAAATTCATTGCAACTATGGCAGCAGTTAGCATCATAGTTGGTCGCAAAAATCTGTTTATAGCGTTACTGTTATGGTAAATAAAAACTTAAAAAAAAAATAACCGACTTCCAGGCACTAAATAATAAACAGACAGTAAAAAATAACTAAACGGGGGTTTTCATTTAGAATAGATAGATACCTAATCAGATATTTTCGAAGTCGGTGCCAGCCGATGCAAAGCAAATCTAATATATTTCGATACGTAAAATACATATTTACCTATTAGATATTCACATCTTAAAATATTGCCGGCTGGCACCCATTTCGAAAATATCTGCTTAGGTATCTATTCTAAATGGAAACCTCCGCTTAGTTATTTTTTACATTTTAGTGCCTGAAAGTCGGTTTATTTTTTTATTAAGTAATAGTTAAAAATAAAAAGTTTATTTTTCCATTTTTAGTGTAGACGTAATAAGTAGGTAAAAAGAAAAGAGCTGAACGTAAATAACGTCTTCATCATGCGATAGTTTTAAAAGCCCTTCGAGTAAGTAATAATAAACAAATGCAATAAATATAGAAATATGCTATATAAGATACTTCCCACCAAATCCCATGGGACTATATTTATGCATATATTTTAAATTTATTCAAAGCTTCTTATGAGATTTAAAATAAATATTTAATAGCTTTTATCAAATACGTTGATATAATATTTCATTCGTAAGTTGATAGGTAAATAATCATGGATAACAGCGCCTCTCGACCTGCTGCAAGAGAGCAATAGCTTGAACACATAGAAAGAAAATATTAGAAGAAATTTAAAATTGCGAACAACCATTGTTTTCCCTCGGTGTTTCAGTTTGCGATGTGTTATAGTGTAAAATGTACGTAATGCACCTTATCACATTTCTATTTTATTTTGAAAAAATAATTTAACCTTGATTGTTTTTCACATGTTCTATATAATAATATAAATTTAGAAAATAATGTCATTGATTTAAAATTACGGATTTTAAAACCCATTACTATTAACGTTCAACAAAATTTACTAAAGATATAGATAGGGCGTTTCATATCTCAAATATACTTATGCAGTTTATTTAAGTATAATAACTTATAAATTAAAAATTAAAAAAAAAATCACCCCTACGCAAATTAATTGTCATTTAACTATTACACTGGCACGCGTGAAGCATTTATCAAGTAATCTTACGCCAAAATGCCTTACATCATTTTGAAAAAGAGCTGATACTGTTAACACTGCTGGACCGATATTAACCAAACAAAAATGAAAAAAACCGCATCGAAATCGGTCCATCCGTTTGAGAGCTACGATGCCACAGATGCCACAGACAGACACAGACACAGACAGACAGACATCGATGTCAAACTTATAACACCCCTCTTTTTGCGTCGGGGGTAAAAAAGCATTTTAACACGACGTAAATCTTAAATTGATTTCATCGTAATATGTTATTGTAGTTAATAAATGTGCAATATCACAGAAATTATACTCATATTATAATTTTGTAGTAGGTAACAATAAATCTAAACATCATTATCATCGTCATCACAAAATCTCGCTAACCAGTCCTAATACACGTAATCGATAAATCTATTAAAAAAGAAAGAAATTTTTATATATGGAATATTTATTATTATTTAATAAATATCAATTAATAAATCGCTATATAAATAAATCGAAAATAGAAGTAGAGTAGAATTATTATATGAATTTAAATATGTATCTATTTGTTACATGTTGTTTCAAAGTCTTATCGTAAAACTTTTCAAAAGTTCTTATACTGGCACTTGGTTTAATTAAAAGTACAAGTTCCACAATCTGTAATCAACCTCGCAGTTGGTGCCGTCTTATATAGAAATATGAAATATAAGAATTTACGTGCAAAGTTACAACAACATGAGCTGTTTTGACGACACTGTACTTAGAAGTTTTGAAATTATAATACTCGTAGTACAACAGTATAATAACAAAAAAAAATTAAGGATAAATATGTTAGTACATTATGTAACACACAGCACCATTTAGTTTCATGGTAGGCTACGAGGCTTGTTTTATGGATACCAGATATTTGATACACTACACATATATGTATGTATTTAAAGTTATATATATTATGTAGTATAGAATAACTTATACAATCTGTCAGATCACAGGAAAATGTATTTAAAAAAAAAAGCTATCTAGTCTTAGATTTTTAATGTAACTTCTGTACGTTACCTTTATTACGAGTATGTAAATTATTAAAAGAAAAAACATACCTATTTCAATAAATTAATAAATAGTATCTCATCAGTAAGGCTCAGTTTTAAGATTATTTTTTACCAAATCGTAATCAATTATTTAATTAATAATAATTATTAATAATAATAAATAATAAAATGAATAATTAATAATTAATAAATAACATTAATTAATTAAAAGTAATAATTAAATAAATCTACAAACAAACAAATAGCCTATATGTTATTTATTAGTTCAAAATAATTAATTATTTACAATTAAATGAATTACAGCTTTGAAATAGAATTGTATAAAAATAATAGAATAATAAAATATATCGAGGCAATGAGGCTTGCATTAACCATTCAAAATAGAACCGCAATTCTATAAGGAAGGAATAATAAATAATACGACGTTGTTGTTTTGCCGCGGTTCTTTCATTATTGGTCAGTTGAAAATTCGTCGTTGGCATTTGAGGCACGTACGCGTGACTCGTCGTGCACGTGTTTTGCTTACGAGATCCCGTCTATCTGCCTCCTTGAGTACTAAACCCAATTTATCCTATTTATATCTCACACTACCTTATCGCAGTTATTAGTTTTCGATATCAAAATAATATAAAACAATCAGAAAGAACTTTTAGATTTTGAATTTTCTAAAATTAAATTTGCTTGCTGTATTGTTAGTTTTTTAATAATATTTTTCATTGAAAGACGGAGTATAAGATTCGCAGACTCCATATCGAGACATATATTTTGTTATCGGGTGACGGGTCGGGTATAATGAATTATTGAATTTCACAACATACACAATAGGTACAGTATCTCAAGTACCTAGTGGTAAGTGGTAACCATTGCGGGTAAACTATTAATTCTTTGTTAAAGGTTAAGATATTATGTAAGTATAGCTAGATCTAGCCCATTTACGTAGATACTTAGTACATTTTTCTATAGAAAGAAAAAAATATTTTAAAGTCAATTCAATAGTGTCAGAGATTATCTTATAAGTACACGACATAAAAATACAACAACTTTATAGTAATAGGTCTTCCTGATGTTTTTAATACTTTGCCCATTTTTTCTAAAATTATTGTATACTAGCAACAACTCATCCTCGCTTCACTCGGGTTCGTCCCTAGCTTGATTCCTCATATGAATTTTCGTCCCCATTTTCAACCCCTTAAGGGGTACAACGGGATAAAAAGTATCCTATAGATATTCTTCCCAGGGTCTCAAACTATCTTCTTACCAAATTTCATCTATATCGGTTCAGTAGATCCAGAGATTACCCCCTACAACGTCACAAACTCACAATCTCACAAACTTACTCACGTATAGATTTTTTTTTCATTTTAATCTATCTATACGTATATTAAGTATTATTTCATAAAACGTGGTTGTTATCGACAAAGAACGAATGTTATCAAACATCACATTCGTTTGTCAGGATATATTTATATAAATCCGATCAAATTTTTGCCCATTCAGACGTATTTTATTTCGCTTGTATTTTTATTTGACGATATTACTCTTCCTTAAAAACGTATCAAATAAAGATCTGCAAAAAAATAATGAATGTTATTCGTTTTTTTTTCTTAACACACATTCTGTTGACGAAGTGAAATATGAAGAGAGAACAATGTGACCGCTCTCTCCATCTTCCTCTGAGGGCTAGTATATAAAAACTATTTGCTAGATGGATTTATATAACACTAGCAGAAGCCGTGGCTTCGCTTGCACATAGCTTATTTTTAAAACACTGTAAATATTTTATATGCACCGAACCTAATAAATACGACGATATTGTTACGATATTGTTTTCAGCCCTTTTTATCGTCCCACTGCTGGGCACGGGCCTCCCTTCAGTACGAGGGGAATCAGGCCATAGTCAACCACGCTGGCTCACGATGTTTTCCTTCACCGTAAGGCAAGTGATAATCATGTTAGAAATGATTCGCATATGAAAATATCAGAGGTGCGAGACCCGGGATTTGAACCCGCTTCACTCGGTTTCCCAAGCGAGCGCGTTACCACTGGGCTACCACTGTTACGATTACAATACTACTATTACGATATATTAAGTGCCTACCTGATGAGGTACTTACCCCATTATTTTGAAGAATCACTATTTTTATGAGAGAATGTTTAAATTACAGAGATTTCTAGTTCTTTTAAGCAACTATCGATGTACATTCGTAACCAACAAAATGGCCTCTGTTCCAAATGTTTTAGGATTTGGTGTCGAATACGGGTGGCTTTTCCTGTAGAAGCGCATAAACCTCTAGTTCCGAGTAGTCTTTGAGCCATTGTAGATATCTAGGCCGTTGTCATAAAGCTTCTACCAAAGCGAGCAGCTACTATGTAGGATAACAGATTTCTATTTGATAAACTCACGCAATATCTTGTTTCAACCTCATCAAATGTAATTGGTTTTTTTCTATATATTAATCAAGATAATATTAAACATGTGTATTGACAAACTTTCTAAATGTCATTAGAGAAAACTAACAAAATCGATGATGCGATAAACTATTTGAGCGATAGCCATATTTAATTACGTCATTTAAAGCTAATGTGAATTTCATAGCGATTTTCTATCATCAGTGACCGACAAAGCATTGTCATACTCTCTAACGATTGTAGCTTTCGCTATTTACTTTCGAAGATATTAATCTCAACAGCCCATACAATATACAAACAAAGGTGTAAAATATTTTAATTTGCTAAAATATTTCTTTTTTGTGTCCTGATACATTTTTTTCCAAAACATTGTATATTTTTCACTGTTAGGTACTCATCACTTTTACATATTTACATTTTCTTAAAAAAAGCTATAATTATATTAAGTAATAAATTGTAAAGTCTTAATCATATCAATATAAATATGCTCAAATGTAACAAATAAAATCTAAATGTCTAATGTATTTTAGATACAAAACAACTGAGAAAGTGCTGAAAGCCTACGATAACACTGTCCTACGATCTACGTGAGCGAGAATGTGGAAATAGCGCAGGCTTTACATCCTTCAAGTGCTCACAAAAGGAATAAAGACGTACTTGAAAATTCTATCTCAAAGTAAAACTTAAGACGAAGTGAGCAACGCATTTCGACCTAAGATCCTCAAAAGTTAAATTAAATATCGAATAATAATATTCAAATAACGTTTCATGTAAAGTATTATCGTAAATAATTAATGACTTAGATTGGTGGCGTATTTTTTAGTTTTGCTACCAATAACTTGGCAAAGGCTTTCTACTAATGAGAGAAGTTGGCGCTTAACCGAGCCTTACAGCCTGCTCTAGTTATAGTATGGGCAAAGAAAAGTCATGTCCCAATTTTTTGTCACACTCCAAAGAAACATGCTTTCGATATTTAATTATTGCTTTTAAAGATCTTTAAACAAAAATATTATTATAATTACAATTAGTAAGTTTTGGAAATAGGCTTTATAATAAACTATTTATTACATCAAATTGGGCCAGGTTGTTAAGAAATGTTAACAAAGAACACAAGAACATAAAGGATGTTTTAGCCAAATATTTGGTAAATACGGGTGCGAACACTCGTTAGTAAGATTGATTGTTGTTTGTTAAGGAAACACACACACCTTACTCACATTGGATGTTCGCTGAGGCATATCGCTGAAGCTCTGTCGAAAGAAAAGTAAAATATACTGAAGATTACATTCACGAGTATTATTCACATTGTTAAAATAGAAGCAATCTCATTTTGCGATATGTCTGCACGTCAATGTATAGATAGACTGCAAATGCTTTTAAATTATGTTTTTATAGCATTTACAGCCTTAGGATATCTAAAAAATTCTAGATATTAATCCTGTAAGGATTTTTAACAAACATGTTTCTAAATCAAAATTAGGTACTTCTTTTGTTATATACCACATTAAATAGCTTGCGGCTTCAGCCATGTACTTTCATATATAAAGTACGAAACTGATTGACTGACTGATCAATCAACGCACATCTGAAACCGCTGGGTCTAGAAACATGGAATTTTGCACAAATATTTCTTAAATGACGTAAGTATGCACTAAGAAGAGATTTATGAAAATTCTTCCCCTAAGGAGTTAAAATAGGGGATGAAAGTTTGTATGAAATTTCGTCATTTTTGAAGTTAAAACGATACGATACGAGCACTTAGTTAGAGAAAAAAAAATTACAGTAACACTTTTTTATGAAAATTCATCCTTTAAGGGGTTAAAATAGGGGACGAAAGTTTCTACGAAACTTGGTATTAATGATCTTCAATTCAATTAAATAAACACGTATTATAACATTTTCGAAATTCATCCCGTAAGGAGGTAAAAATGGGTGGTAAAGTCGGTAAGAAAATCGGCCATTTTTATTGTTAAAATTAAGTATTCAAAATAAAAAATAAGCAATACGTGTTATCAATTAGATTATTCGAAATACGTAAAAGTAAATCTCAGGTTAAAATTCACATTTTAACCCTGAGAGGGTAAAAATATTATCAGGGTCGACTGTCGAGTGCACTTAAAAATCAGCATTAATGATATTGACGCTTATTTAACGAATAGTTGAATACTTAAAAATTACGGACAAGTGCGAGTCGGACTCGCCCACCGAGAGTTCCGAACAAATTTGTAGGAAATCAGTTTAAATTTATTTTCAACTTTTTTTATTTTTTGAAATTTTTCCTTTATTTTTGCTGTGCTGTGTGTATTCTAGCGGTCGCGGGTTTGACTCCCGGTGGGGGTATTCATTTGTGTGAAGAGCACGAATGTTTGTAGAGCACAAATCATCATAGATCATTATGTCATGGTGTTTATATGGGTCATGGGTGTTTATATTTATAATATATATGGTTTTCTTTTTTTAGAGCTTTAGTGCTATTAATAAATTATAAAAATTGGAAAGTTTCTTTTTTATATAGATACCTATCTAAATTATATTCATATATGTTTTCCTCAATTTTTCAATGGTAATGGTCGAATTTCGACAGCTAGGTGAACTAGTTGTGTTAATAACACCACAATCTATAATTAATAATACCATACCATATCATAATCTTGAAAGCGTTGAAATCGTCAAAGCATTTTAAGTCAAGAGTGTCATGTTAAAAAGATTTTGTTTATAACTTTGTAATAATTTATAAAAAGAAGTTTAATAAAAAAATTTAAAGAGCTGTTTCTTGGTAAGCGGTAAAGCTTTTTAGTATGTTTACTGCATTTTTCTATACAGAAATATGCTTATCAGATGAATATGAATTTTATATAATAAATATTGGAATTTCAATAAGATGCTGGAATAAAGGATGCATAAATCTTAAGAAGGGAAAGTTATTTTATTCTTTTAAGGCACTGTTGGAATTTATAGTTGGCAGGGCTTTGAATTTTGCTAAACTATGCAGTATTATAAATATTTTAGATCGTGAAGCGGCCAGCTTAGATGGATCGCGAGGTCCCTGGGTCCGTTTGAGTCCAGAATAAGACCAAATAAAGTTTTAGATATTATTTTATAAAAGCATTTGCGATGTTATCTTACTCTAGTTATGTCCAATTAAAGTCCTATCAAACTATAAAGTCGGCTAAAGTTAGTGGGTGGGGAAAGTGAAGGTTTTGTGAACACACTTGAGTACATGTTCACGTCAGTATTTAGTTTATGCTCGTAATTGACGAAGAAGACATAACATTACATTTTTTAGTAATTTAGTTGTTATAATTTAATAAGGCAGTGGTAGCCCAGTGGTAACGCGCTCGCTTGGGAAACCAAGTGAAGTGGGTTCAAATCCCAGGTCTCGCACCTCTGATATTTTCATGTGCGAATCATTTCTAACATGATTACCACTTGCCTTACGGAGAAGGAAAACATCGTGAGGAAACCTGCATGTCTGAGAGAACCTAGCAAGTTTTAGAAAGACATGTGAAGTCCGCCAAACCGCACTTGGTCAGCGTGGTGGACTATAGCCTGATCCCCCTCGTTTTGAAGGGAGGCCTGTGCCCAGCAGTGGGACGTTAAAAAGGGCTGAATACACAATTTAATATTTATATTTGTATAAAGTTATTGATTGTCCTAACTCAAAATGGAACAATATCTTATTCCTACAATGAAATAAGTGACCGCTATTAAATAAAGGTTTTTAATTTTATCTCTAAAGCGGTTAAACGGATGCACTTTGTATTGGAACCAATATTTGCGGAGTCAAATAAAAAAACATCAGCCAAAATCCACATAAAACGCTAGAATTAAATAAAATTAATATAAAATAAACACGAAATATTAATAAAAGTAACCTATCCAAAAATATCGCTCTACTGTTCACCAGAGAACTTTTTCCATGAGAATAAATGAAAAGCATCGCAAAAATATATACATTTTGAACCTTTATAATAATAGCAATCTCTTATAATAACGAAGGGCAATTTCTTTATAAGGCTTACTACGGTTTAATATATGAATAATCAAATTGAATAACATTTTACTTTACTCCAATTACGTATTCCACTCGTATTCAATGTCATATACGTATAAAAGCGTGAATAACTAACGTATTATAATGTTAAAACAATATCTCTAATAAGTCTATATATAATATAAATATCTATAAAAAGGTTATAATATATCCTTATGATACCCTTTGAATTTCTATCTATCCCACCATACTGTATGATGAAAAACTCATATAATTCTGAGCCTAGTGCTTTCATATAGACCAATACTATCGCAGTGATAAATTTTCAGCACACTAGGTTAGAGATTAACACATTTGTCTATGGAGATGAGACTATATTTCGTGCACGTCAACATGTTATTTATGCTCTATCAATTTACAGAGCAATAGAGGTCGAATGAAGCATTCACGAAAATAGTCCAACGCAGCAGAATTATTCATTGCGATGCCAAAATAGAATAATGAAAATTATTCACCGTGGAATGTAGTAAAATTTGTTAAAATTTATTACCCTACGTTTCCAATATTAGTTGTGGTTTCTACCCACAAATAATTTCATATTAAACTAAAACCAACCAAAAAGCCTTTTCTGTACTTCATTATATATTACTTAAGTATAATTTGGGAGTGTTAACTTTAATATTCATATTAAATTTGACAAGGTTACATGTAAATGGGGTATAAAATTACGGTATTATTTAATTATGCAAGGGATGTTACGGCCACGTGACAAGCATTTTAATGTGTACGCATAATGATCCATCCAGCGAAAAAAACAGAACAATTCTTAAACGCTTATTCTGAATAAAAGATTTCCCGCAATCTTCTACGGTCATCAAAGAAAGAATTTTAATAGCGTAATTTGAGACTAAGCGTTTGTTTAAAAGTGCCTGCTTTAGGGCGGCCAAGTTGATTGTTTTCATCGAGTTTCTTGAAATTAATCACAAGTCTTCCGTTATTTCTAATTTAACCTTCAAAAAGGCGCTTAATTCGTTGCCAACGTTTAATGTTCAATAAAAAGGAATACCTTTGTGATATTTTTACATAACAAAATTCAGATAGAGGAAACATTCAATTCTTAAAATTATAGTAGATTTGTCAAAAAATTCTTTTAAACAGTTTTAAAGTATAACTGTAACACTTACTCTCGATATTCTCAGTGGTTGATTTTGATCAGCACCGCCGTGCATCCGGAAGCCCCACGGCGCGCCGCCAGTCAATTCTACTTCCCGTGCAGACATTTCCACTACCACTCCATTCCTTCGAAAGTTATCAACTTAATCGACACTTCAACTGAATCCTTCAAAGCCGATGTCCTTCAAAGTTTTCTTCATTATCGCAATATGAGGTAGAATTTGGAAGCCCGAATTAACTATTCACATTATACTTTGGAGGTAGTGTGGAGTTTATCTGCAACAAAAATTAGAATATTATCGATAAGAAAAATTTAATACCCATTGACTAATTTAATCACTTAATTTTTCATAATAAAATTAAATTGGTAAAAAAAATTATAATTATTATATTCTGTAAAAAATAACAAAAGTACTGAGATCGAAATATTTCTGTTGCATGTGACGCGTTCTTTCGTGGTTATTTATGATGGACATAAATTTTAAAGGACAAATATCCAATACTTTGACGGTAATCTGTGGTTTATAGAGCAATTTTCATAAACAATTTGCAACAAGTTTTAGTATGATAACATAATCTTGCAACAAAACTTATTTTAAATGGAATGTGGTTTTTTAGCATATTTTGAACTTATTGGGTACATCATTTTTCCAATTACGACGGGGAGTATTTGTGACATTAACAACATGTACTTACTACACCAAAAGTCATGGATTCGTTTCTTTTACGAAAGTTTTATTTTAGGTACTAATATAAAATAGTGAAACGATAGACTGACTAAGCTTTTTTTACATCTATCCTGCACAGAAAAAATATACATGAAATTGAAAAATCTTCTATAGAACAAATTTCGCCGAAATAATTGGTTAATATTATAAAAGTATATTATTTGTTTGTAAAGTTTGTACATACATAATAAATAAAATATATTTTAATTAAAAAGAAAAAAGAACGATGAAAGAAAGTTTATTTTAAATATATTTACTATAAAATATTGCGGTACGCGATACAAATAATCTTGTAACTTTACAGCGAGGCAACTACACAGTAGGTATACAGCGGAATTGTGGTCGCACTATAGGGGTAAAGTACTGTGAGATAGACCATTGCAGTGTTGCTTTAGCTGTTGGTTAGTAATAGAGAAAATAGTTAAGTTTTGTTAAATATATTTTGTACGTAATTATTTCCTCAACGCATTCTTTCAAATTATTTTGTTTTAATATTATATAAATATTGATGTAGTATAGGCCTTTCGCCGTTAAGTATACTAAAAGTATTTAAGTTTATTCATATAAACATTCATGAAAGTTAATCATTTTTGAAATTAAATTGACATTTCAGCTATAGCGATAGTAAATCCTTCAGAGTTCACTGCTTGTTCTATCTAATATAATAGGTCAGAAAATATCATGTCAGAGAGTATATAAAATATTTTATCTATGAACAGGTGAAGAAAAAAATTTTTTGGTAACGCACCATACCCCTTTTTCCACTATAATGCTCTAGTCATGGTCAAATAATGTATAAATATCATTTGTCAAATAATTTGAATGTGTTGGCCTTGTTGAATGTATTCGATAAACAAATTAATATTTGCTATTTTTAAGCTCGTCTATACTAATTACTAATACTAATAATATTATAAAGAGGTAAAGTTTGTGAATTGTGAGTTTGTGATCTATGGATCTACTAAACCGATTTAAATGAAATTTGGTAAGAAGATAGTTTGAGACCCTGGGAAGGACATAGGATACTTTTAAACCCGGAAATCATCCCTTAAGGGGGCGAAAATGGGAATGAAATTTGTATGGAGAATCAACCCAGGGACAAACCCGAGCGAAGCGAAGGTGATTCGCTAGTATTTGATAAAGAAGATCTCGACGACACGTATTATTTGACACATATTTGAACGTGTATGGAACCCATAACATCGAAATACAATTAATGGCGTTGACGTGATATGTTTCGTTGACTACACTACGAAAGATGTCTGTAGAGTGAATACTAGGGAATCAAACCTTTTACTTCCTGCGCAATAGGCAATGATAATCAGATTGATACCACACTGGACCACAGGAGTCGTTTTTTTACCAAATATTTTTTTTAAATCAATTTAAAAACACACGGTACTTAAAGTTTGTGTAGAATAAAAACAATATAAATTGTGAGAAATTGTACTCGCACTAAATATAACTGAATAGAAACTTGGTATTTTTTAATATGCTATAAACCCAATATCAGAAAACTGGTAATAAAATAATACTATTTTAAAGAGTAGTTACAACCGTAATATTTATGGTTTATCGCATTCAGAAGAACAGCTGTAGCCATCATAACCCTTAAATCAATATTAAAAATATTCTCAGTTTAAATTTATTTTTCTTTCCAACCCTGGTTTAAAAAAATATATAAAGGCACTTGGCCTCTATCATCATTATTAATCGTTTCCATATTCAATAATTATTACTATAATGTGGGTAGACGTGAGTTGACGGACGAAGAGAATAAAACGACGCTTCACAAATCATACACAATATAATCACTAATTATAATCCCTTTTACAATTGTTCATTAACACTTCACAATTCTTAACAGTTCTTAATTTCAATTAAAAATTCAAACACAGACACTCCACCGAACACGTAATGTAACGATGCGATGCGAATCGAATGACAAAAGTAATGTCCGTCTCGACTCACACGCTAATGCTCACTAGCGCCCGGGGTTGTGTCAGAGTGTCGAAACGTCACTCTCAAAAATGTCAATGCGCCGTCACGGCCGGACTGACGATAGCACGCCCTCGTGCCTCTTCTCACCTCGCTGTTCTAGTTAATCTGCAAAGATAAAACATCATGTTTTTTCCAGTACGCTCGCTCATCCCTGACTTAATATAGTTACTGCGAAAATTTTATGTCTCATGTCATGTGTGACTTTCCATTTCACCTATAGAATGGACCGGATAACTGAACATAGGCGTCCCTTCGACTAGCCAACATTCGCAATGCTGACATAGACCGGACAACCCCTCAGCGTCCCTTCGACCATCTAACACAATCAGACTTCATATACGCGACCGGTAATCTGATCCGAAACATCGACCTACATAAGCCAGTTTCCTTGACCGATTACCGTCTCCAGTACAACACCACAAACACTCTACTACAGTCTGTCTTAGAACATCGACCCGCATGAGCCAGTTCTAACGCCCAGACACTTCTCGAACCCATTAACTTCAGTATGTCACACATGAGCACATATATTAAGAAAAATGACAGAGTAATATTAAACAAGGCTCTACTATCAAGTAAACTTACGATTTAGTTTTGATCACGCTCAGAGGCTGAGAGGGTCCCCGAACTAGCGGTAAGAGTTTGCGAACTAGCTATAGACATTGTATCACTATCATCGTCAGATGGTACCCCCTCATTCTCTTGACCGTGGATCGCCGTCTCGGCTTCCTCCGCATTATTAATTAAGATAGTAGCTGCTTCAACTAATCCACTATAGCCTTCGGGTACGGCACGTAAATTTTCATGGGCATATTTATAAGTTCTGTTAGATCCATCAATGTCCCTGAGCTCATACCTATCATTATCTAACACTCGCGAAATAACAAAAGGTCCTTTAAACTTTCGTTGCAGTTTCGTTTGATTACGTTCGCTACATTTTATAAAGACGAAATCCCCTTGCATAAAAGGTTTTACTGTTGCTCTACCGCGGTTGAAACGTATAGTATCAGCAGTGGCAGTTTTTTCAATGTTTGAAGATGCATCCTGACGAATTGCGTTTAAGTCTAGACGAGATTCGGGCTCTGAGTGCGGTAATATGCTAGACATTCCCAAGGACTGTGCTCGTATGCCAAACATCAATTCTGTTGGTGTATATCCGGTTACTCTAGAACGCGTCGAGTTAAGAGCTAGCTGTACCTCCGGGAGTTCGTCTCTCCATGTTTTATTGGTTTCGTTTTCTACTATTGTAAGTAAGCATTTCAAAGTCCTCATCACCCGCTCAACTTGGCCGTTAGCCCTGCTAGAGCCAGTAGCAGTAAGGTGAAGCTCCATGTTATGATCGCTGCAGAATTGTTTAAAGTCTGCGCTTATATAACACCGACCCTGATCAGCAATAATCCGTTTTGGGGCACCGAACAGACAGACAGCTTTTCTAAGAGCTTTAATGGCACTTGCCGCATCAAGTGAGGGTGTATACTCAAGTAGGACATATTTTGTGAAGGAATCGATTATGACTGAGGCGTATTCTTTCCTATCACTCTTTCCACTGAGTTTCCCTGTCATGTCGATATGTATTGTATCCCATGGTGTTGCTACTTTCGGTATTGGGTGGAGTTGTACCTGCTGAGCCCCTGAACAACCCTTTGAGGCTTTGCAAACTATGCAAGATTCAATAAATTTACGAACTTGCTTAGCCATCTGTGGAAACCAATATTGCTCATATATTTTGTCAAGGGTCTTTTCAGCTCCAAGGTGCTTAATTTCTGTATGCACATAATTAATCAAAGTCCACGTAAGAGACCTAGGTACGACTGGCAACCAAAAAGTAGTCTTGTTACGTTCTATCTTCCTATAAAGAATGCCTTTTCGGACATCGTAAGTATGCGCAACTAATTCTGGTAAATCTTTGTCATTGTACTTACTGATAAGATCTTGAATCTCTCTATCGCGTTTCTGTTCCACAGAAAGCCAACCCTTATGCAACTCTACAAAATGAACATGCTTACCTTTCTTGGATAAACCAGAGTCATCATTTGTATGAGAGGGTCCAGGGGCTGGTTCTGAAAGTGGATTTCTTGACAAGAAGTCAGCATGTTCCATACTCTTTCCCTGTTTATGCACAATATCAAAATCATACGCTTGCAAGAAAGCCCACCACCGATGAACACGCGGGGTTAAATCAGTTTTCGATTTAGACGCTTTAAGAGAGTTGCAGTCTGTAAATACTGTAAAATGCTGACCATACAAGTAATGGCGAAAATTTTCTACAGCTCGAACAACAGCCAGCGTCTCCAACTCATGAGAGTGATATCGCGATTCTGTGTCTGTTGTTCTGCGGCTAAAATACGAAATAACATGAGGTGCACCATTCTTTCTTTGAATGAGTATCGCGCCATATCCTTCCGAACTGGCGTCAGTGTGCAGTTCTATTGGTGAGTCCCTATCAAAAATTGTTAAAACCGGTTCTGTAGTAAGTATATCAACAATCTTTTTGTGAATCTCACTGTGTGTCTCTGACCATTTAATTGGGCCTTTTAATTTTGTTAGTGGGTACAAGGGTCCCACAATACGGGTGAAATTAGGAATAAAACGTCTAAAGTAGGACGCAAGCCCCAGGAACTGCCTAACATGTGTAGCTGTTTTAGGTGTGGGAGCGTTTGCTAAAGCTTGCACTTTTGTAGGATTTGGAGTTACCTTTCCCGCTTTTATTACATACCCCAGATAATCAATTTCCTTTTTCAAGAATGCACATTTCTTAATATTAAACGAGAAGCCCGCGTCAGAAAGTGCTTTTAGCGTGGAATCTAGGCGCTCCAAGCCCTTTTTAATGTCATCAGAGTAGCATAAGACATCGTCCATGTAGGCTAATGCCACGTTATCTTTTAAGGGACCTAGTGCTTTATTAATGCACCTTTGATAAACAGATGCTGCATTTCGAAGCCCGAATGGCATTGCCAGGTACTCATACTGTCCTTCCGGGGTCACAAATGCCGTTCGTGCTATGCTATCGGGATCTACCAATATTTGGTGATAACCAGACGCCATATCTAATGAGGAAAAGTAATGGGCACCATGAAGACGATCTATTTGTTCGTCAATTCTTGGCAATGGGTAATGTTCGGGTCGTGTATTAGAATTGAGCTCCCGATAATCTACGCACATTCTATCTGTATTATCCTTTTTTTTGACCAACAAAATCGGGCTAGCGAAAGGAGAGTGACTTTCTCTAATGACACCTGCATTTAAAAGAGCTTCAACTTTCTGTCTGACAATTTCTTTTTCCGCGGGGGCTAATCTATAGGGCGCCTTTGTACAGTTTTAGTGGGGTCAATCGGATCTATTTGTAATACACCTGTAGAAACACGTCGTGTCGGAATGCCATCGATAAAGCAGTCGCTGTATTTTTGCAGTATTTTAATTAGAGCAATTTTATTATCACCGTCTAGATCTGTATTTAGAAAATTAAAATAGTTCGGTTTTTCAGTTACACTAATATCTTTACGTAATGAAAATATAAGATGGTCATTATTGATTTCGACATGAATGTTATTTTCTAATAAATCTCGACCTAAAATTACGGGCTCTGCAATGGTGCCGTCCGGTACTATATGAAATAATACTGATAATGAAATACCTTGTACATTGATGGAACTAAGAACTTGTGAATTACATTTTACATTTTCTCTACCTATTCCTGTTAAATATACCAAATTATTTTCAATCGTACCCGAAAACTTTTTAGAAAAGCTACATGTGACTAACGAACAAGCAGATCCACTATCAAAAAGAAATGAAACGGGCTCACCAGATGATGTAGTTAACGTGCTCATCGATGATTTGCGCTCGCAGATGTTGACCTCCTTGACTATCTGTGCGCTGCTCCCTCCTTTTCTTTCTGGGCATGTTGACGCGAGGTGCCCCGACTGTCCACATACATAGCACGTAATCACTCGCGTCTTATCAGGTATTCTAAACGATTGGCTCGGTGTCTTTTCTACGGAACTAGGGTCTTCGCGCTTTTTACGGCAGTCAATAGCTCTATGTCCTGGCACACCGCAACGGTGACATGCTCCCGTAAAGCGACCTTCATTAAAACGAGTCCTTTTAACTTCAATTTCTTGGCTGTCGTTACCATCATGCCTCCGCTTTAATGATATTCCATTTAGAATGCGAAAGAGTTGAGATCTAGTTGCCACATTATGAGAATGAAGCTCCCTACGAATAATGACATCCTTTTGACTCAACACTGACGCTACAAATCCTGTGATTATGTCTTCAGCCATCTCCGTACGGGGAATGCGTTCTATAATGCTCCATAGTCGTATCGCCGCCTCACATGCCGATTCTTTTAGGCCTATTTGAAATCGAAGCACTTCATCGAAATAATCCTGTGGTAACATAGGCTTAGCGAACTTTGCCAATAGAATTTCTTTTATTTGCAACCATGTTAGTTGAGATGGTTGTAGTTTGGTGAGACAAGAAGCGGCCCGTCCCTTAAGGGCATGTGTAAGCAATAATAGTAATTCCGCACCTTCTAACTTCTTGCTATCAACAATGATTTCGGTCACTTTACACCAACCTTCTATGTCCGCATCCACACAATCAGGGTCAAACTGAATCAATTGTATCGGAGGATTACTCGTAGGTTGCGCATGAGTAGCCGCTAATAATCTAGTTAGTAACATTTCCATATTCTGTAGAAAGCTGGGTTCCTGCGATGACGTCGACGCTTTATTACTTTGCATATTCTCTTCAGATCTTTGTCCTGCAAATCCCACTTCTGATAAAGGCACTTGGCCTCTATCATCATTATTAATCGTTTCCATATTCAATAATTATTACTATAATGTGGGTAGACGTGAGTTGACGGACGAAGAGAATAAAACGACGCTTCACAAATCATACACAATATAATCACTAATTATAATCCCTTTTACAATTGTTCATTAACACTTCACAATTCTTAACAGTTCTTAATTTCAATTAAAAATTCAAACACAGACACTCCACCGAACACGTAATGTAACGATGCGATGCGAATCGAATGACAAAAGTAATGTCCGTCTCGACTCACACGCTAATGCTCACTAGCGCCCGGGGTTGTGTCAGAGTGTCGAAACGTCACTCTCAAAAATGTCAATGCGCCGTCATATAAAAAATGTAACCTAAACAATAAAATAAAAAAATAAAAGTTGTACTTTCATATCAAGTACTTGATTTACCAATATACGCATATTAGGTGCTCGTTTTTGAAATGACATATTTGTATTCAACCCTTCTTAACGTCTCACCGCTAGGCACAGGCCTCTCTTCAATACCAGAAGGTGTCAGGCCATAGCTGGCCAGGTGCAGGATGTGTGACTTCACATTTGCTTCAAAAACTTACTAGAGAACTCAGACATGCAGGTTTCCTCAAAATGTTTTCTTTCACCGTAGAAAAAAGTGGTAATTATACTGGAAAAGATTCGCACATCAAAATATTGGAAGTGCGAGATCCGGAATTTGAACTCACTTCACTTGGTTAAAAAAGCGCGTTACCATTAGGCCACCACTGCCTGACATGAAAAACATATACATAGGTAATATATTATGATAATTTGCTTTTTCCTAACATTTGAAAGAAATATAACTAATATATGACTAAACGTATAATACATGTGGGTTTATGAAATAAAATTAAGCGAAAAGATAAAATCTTTTTCTGACATAAAATTTGTACGGGCTCAAATATTAAAGTTTAGATGTCAGTCTAAATGACAATTTAGTAAATTACTCAAACCGACAAAAAATAAAAAACTGATAACAAAAAAATAATAATTTACAAAACAAAAACTCGACTGTGTAAAAAGCGAACTAAAAAGATAGAAACAAGCTAACGACGGAACATAGTATTCTGCAGTCGGAGACATACATACATATGTTAAGTGTGTACATGTTCTTCCTTGCTGCGAGACTTCCTACATATTTTTTTTTGTATTGTCGATTATTATTTTTTAATTTTTTAATGAGTACCTATACGAACACCACAGACTTTTTGTCTTTGCCTTTTTTGGGTTTTGTCTTGTTTTGTCTTTATTTAATTTAAGCAATTAAAAATTTCTATTGATCACATTGTATATTCAAATTGTAAATATTACTCTAACAATAGTAACAAATAACAATAAGTAGCTTTCGTTTAAATAATCATTTCATTTATCCAAAAATTTTAAACGTAAGAATTGAATAAACAGGAAAGCTATTACGTTGATTATGAGTGGTTTCCCAATCGATATACACTTGATAACTCACTGAAGCCATTAAGTACTTAGTTTATTCCGGGATGCTTGAAATTATTTGTTCGTATTGTACCTACGGTAATAATTTTCAAATGAAATAAAGTAGAATTTTTAATAGGTGATAAGAACTCTAGGTTCTTTTGATCTATGTAATAATCCTTAATATGCATATATAATATAATTTAATAGAGAATATAAAACTGACTGGCTGGTTGTTCAACGTAAAAATGGATGTCACTAGCTTCTGCTTGCGGCTTAAACAGCATCTGTTATTCTTATTAGTCCACTTACTCTTTAACTATACGTTGTTTAGTTAATACTATGTATGGACGATCATCGATTTTAAAATCACTTAAAAGTATTTTTTCTGCCTATATGGGTAGATTTTTTATTTTTATATGACCAGCTACACAGGTAAAACCATTTTATTAAAGAAATACGAATAAAATGAGCTATTAGGTAATATACACAAACAAACATACAAGCAGTCCTCTTTGAAATCGCTCAAAAATGGCTAAAGTTAAGAGCTGTTAAAATTTGAATGAAAATCAACAATTGGTGGAGGCACTTAATTAAATTCATTAGACTCTACAAACGCTTATACTTTAATATAGGTCATAGTCCATCTCAGCTAGCATCTGCACCTAGCTGAATCGAGGTCATTCCCGTTGAATTATTTCAAGCTATGATGTTAACTAACATAACCGAAGGCCAGAATGATTGTAAAATATTCCGGGTTACGCGTAGGTATTATGTCATTGTCTACGATTATATATATATATATATATATATATATATATATATATATATATGTATGTAGTTAATGGGTAGGTTTAATTTGTTTAATTTAATACTAATACTATAGATGTATGCAATTTATTATTCGTGGTTGCAATAAAACCACTTTGATATAATAAAAACTAATCTTAATTCAAATGTTATGCTTAAATTTTTACAGAAATATTTTAAGCGAGCTTAATATTACAAAATAAAATTCTATTTTTTTTTTTTTATAACAAACAGACAGAGAAACAAGAAATTGAAAAAAAAATCTGGATTTGTTCTATTTCTGTTCTTACATCCCCTTGACTTGGTTTTTAGCATTTTTTTTATATTTACAGGCAGACATTCGACCTCTACAGTTTTATTTTAGGTATAGGATTCCGTTTTTTTATCATAATTGTAGTGATACTCGAAAGTTTTAAAAAATGTAAAGAATAAAGTTTTCATCTATAATATATATATATATATATATATATATATATATATATATATATATATATATATATATATATTATTATACATACCTTTAATAAAATTGTAACTAAGTCGAATCTGTACATTAAATATTTTTTGGAAAATCTAATTGAAATAGACATTATTATCGATACAGAGCCCGAATCTATAGTTTTTAGAATTTGTCTGTCTGTGTGTCTGTAACCGCATCACGAGAAAACTACAGGACAGATTTTTATGAAATTTGGTGTGATGATAGCTCTGGCTTTTTACCGCGGGAAAATATTTCTGAGAAAAAATACAAAAACTGCATTGTAAGAGTATACTAATATGTAAAACCTCAGAATTAGGTTTTTAGTCATCTGAATGCGGGCGGAGCCGCGGGCAATGCTAGTTTTACTATAAAAAACTAAATATACAACGTGACACCAAATCCATAACTTAACATACGTATTACGTATATACCCGTATAATAATAGAATTAAACGCTTCGAAATAAATGCACTGTGACGAGTAAAGATTTGCTTCGCCCGCAGGCAAATACCTAGTTTCGATTACATGCTGCCCAGCGTCCACCGACATGTCCAATAAAACATTGTTTATTCCTCTTCGTATACTCTAATTGTTTTTGTTAATTGCGTAGGTATTTTGAAAGCATTTTGCTGATAAATAATTGTAAAAGTAATTACTTATTTGTATGAAAAATATTTAGATTATAATAGAGATTAGAATAATTGATTTACCATTTTTGCACCAATCGTATATAGAACTATAAAATAAATGTACAGGAATTTTCGCAACTATCGGTGCAGTTGGTTGATAGGTCTTCAAATGATGAATAATATATTATAAATAAATATGTTGGGACATTAACACACAGCACTATCTAGTTTCATGGTAAGCTTCGAGGCTTGTGTTGTCGATACCAGATAGTTGATACACTACACATTATTATATAACTTTAAATACATTCATATTACATACATCCATGACTGGAGTACAAACATTCGTGTTCATCACACAAATGAATACCCCAAGCGGGCCTCGAACCCGCGACCGCTGGCACAGCAAGTAAGGTCACTACATACTGAGCCAAACGTATCGATACCGGCTTTCTAAATATATCTTTAATGTTTGTACGTGAAAGATATTGGATTTTTTAAAGTTAAAATTCTATTCTTCACACTAAAATCATTTGAAAAGAACCAAAAGAAAGTAATTATGTAAATCTAACGCAACGTAACTAATTACGTACGTCTAATACTTAACATTAGTTAATCATAAGTGTCTATGGTGAAGCACGTTTTGATTGAGCATTAAACTTGGTTCATGGAGCAAGTGAGCTTAAAAAATATATTATCCAGTGATCCAAATTGCTTTCACAAATATGCATAAGACAGAAAAGAAGCATAGCTTTTATGATGATGTTTACGATGGCACAGCACCATCTAGTTCCATGGTAAGCTACGAGGCTTGTGTTATGGATACCAGATAGTTGATACACTACACATATATAACTTTAAATACATACATATTATATATATAAACACCCATCACTGGAGTACAAACATTCATGCTCATCACACAAATTAATGACCCTAGCGGGACTCAAACCCGCGACCGCTAGCATAGCAAGGTAGAGTCACTACAAGCTGAGCTAAACGTGTCGTCTATAATTGTGTGATAAAATATTATTTTAGTACTTGCTACATTGAGTGTCACCTTCGTATTGAATTGCAATGCAACTGAATAGTTCAAATAGACGAAAGTGTTTGGAAATACCAGTTCAAAATGTTTAAAGTAAAAAGCGTGCAATCGTAAAATGTGTACGTTCCCCACGTTCTTTCGAATTATACCTACTAGAATAGAGATATTTCGCACAGAATTCGAAAGGCAAGTTTCGTTTTGTAGCGTCTTCTACAAAGATTTTCTAAGGTATCGAGTAAAGCGTATAGAATTTATAGGTTCCGATATGGTAGATAAAATTTATGTATCTAATAAATTTAGAAATTTTGGCATAAATACTAAAAAGTAACATTCAATTCTATAGGAAATAAAGTCAAGATATTTGTAATGTATGAAATGAAAGACGGACTATCGCTGACTGATGTATCGTTAAAAAGAATAGGCGTTGGCTTGTTTTATATCTACCTACATGACAATATTGTTCTTAAATTATTTTCTTATTGTTAATTGTTTTATGAAAATTAAATAAAAGCAATGAATCAAAAAATATATAATAATTTTATTTAATAAAACAATTATTTTTATTTAATACTAGCAGAACCCGCGGCTCCGCTCGCGCTTAGACTACA